GACAGTGATTTTTGAAAGTATTCCTGATCCTATGCAGTGATAGCCATCACAGAATCATGCCTGTTTTTAATGCTGTGCCCTGTGACGCCCCTACGATCATGGACATCCAATATTGTGTTTCAGCCTTGGGCACAGAGATTTCTCCAGATTCTTGGAACCTTTAGAAGTTATGTACTGTAGATGGACATTTTTTTTGAAATTGTTTGACAATTTTTTAGATGCAGCTTTTCACAGATTGGTGAACCTCTGCCCATCTCTACTTCTGAGACCCTCTGACTCTCCCAATCATATTACTGACTTGTTGCCAACTAACCTATTGAGTTATTCTAGCTCTTCCTTGTTAGTACCACTTTTTTGTCAGCTTTTTGTTGCCCTGTCCCAACTTTTTTGAGACATGTTGCCACCATCAATTTCAAAACTACCTTATTTTCTTGTCATAAAATGGTACATTTTCTCAGTTTAAACATTTGATATGTTTTCTATTGTAAATAAAATATGGGTTTATAAGATTTGCAAATCATTGTATTCTGCTTTTATGTAGATTTTACACAGTGTCCCAACTCTTTTGGAATTGGGGTTGCATAAAGTGTGGAACCATGACATCTTAACAAAAAAAGCAAAACTCTGAGGGGAGGAAAAGGCTCTGGGGGCTAAATGGGGGTATAGTGAGCAAAAACCGTAGGACTAAAGGCTCTGGGACTTAAATATTTAATTTATATTTTGTTATGGAAAATTTTGAGTATAATAGTACAGGAACACTAAGTGGTCTCTGAGGACTAGCCTCAAAGGACTTGTAACTGTGATACCATGGTTTCCATGCCTTGTTTACTTTTTAAATTAAGCTAATCAACTGTTGTATATAGTTAAAGGATAAATCTCACTGGATTTAATGAGTGTAAATGTGTATAGTTAACATTTAGTCCACATTAGTAAGGGAATCATGAGATCATAGATAAGCTAAACTTGCGAGAATTGTAAGGCAGTTTTTTGCATTGCATTGAGCTGAAGTGACAGCCGCAGCGGTGAATAAAGCCTGCTGAAGGACCAGCCGTTCTCACTGCAGATGACGGCTGGCTCCGCCCAGTTGTAATGACATCAGTGTCCCCAAATGATCTGGGTACGCTGAACTGTCATTAAACAATAACAACTAGGCGGAAACGGCTGTGATGTCTCGACCGGCTCCGCCCAGTTGTTATTCATTGGCCGGGACCTGCTATAAGACTCTGGCAGGTGCCGGCCAATAGGAAACGGGTGGAGCGTGCTATCACTTCTAGCTCCGCCCAATTGTTTTTACTTTTTAAAAAGATTTTTATTTTTAATGTTCCCATTTTGTATAATTTTTTAAAATTTCTGAACTTTTTTTTTTTCTTTCACTCTTTTCACTTATTTTCCATTCTGCTCAGTAGCGCTTTCGGGGTCTCAAAAGTACACCTTCATCTGGCTCGGAATGACTATGGTGATGATGGTCATTCTGAACCTGATGAAGGGGTACTTTTGAGACCCCGAAAGCGCTTGTACTGAATGGCAATCTGTCATTAAAGGACTTTTTGCTGTGAATATCTGTGGTGTGCTGGTGACAATCTTTGCTTTATTCTATATGTTCACGGTGCCGTCCGTGGTCGCTACAAGCACCCACCTGCTTCGCAGGTTTACTATTTTTCTGGTAAGGAGTGCAGCTGGTTTCCTACTATATTGTTCCCTTTGAGACACACAGTACATGTGCCTATGTACAAAGAAGTCTGAAGACTGATAATGAACAAAGTCCCGGAAAAGCTCCTGTGCAAGAACAATTCTTGGACCAAGCACTGTATATAAATAGGTAGACAGGTAGCTAGATGTACAGTATAGATCAGGGCTCAAAATTTCAAGTCCTGAGCTACTAGCCAGTCCTTAAGAGTCACTAGTCACCAGTTGCCCCACCTAACCCTTACCCTGCCCCGGCCTTAACTCCGCCCCTAAACACACCCTCTTAAATAATCTTATGATAATTCTTATCTTATGGTAGTTGCTGCTTGTAAACGGCAGATTAGGGATTCCTGCTGCAGGAAAACGCAAGTTCCTGACACAGGAATCCCTAATCACACCTGAAATATACTGTAGGTGTGAATGGGGCCTAATATACACATACACTAAAGGTGCTCATACACCTGCTGATTATCGTACGATAGTTGTGGGTGATCGTATCACGATCGTATCATAATCGGCAGGTGTATGGGCAGCGTGCGACCGCTTCTACTGTAAGGTTGTGCGACTTTAGTCTTCCAAGCACGCTGGAAAACCTGCCGAAAATCTTGCGGTTGGTGGCGTGGTCAGAAGACGAATGCCGCACGGGCCGGTGTGTGCAAGCGCACACTGCCCACTTAGCACTGCAATCATCGGAAGCCCTCCCCAATGATCGCAAGTATGATCTGCCTGTCCAAGATGGGCAGATGGTAATAGTTTTTAATGACCTTACAACCATAACGAAAGTCGTGCGTTGGTTGTAAGGTGTATGGGCAGCTTAAAGCACAATAATACACTGCTCAACAACATTACACCTCCCCCTGCACAAATATAATAATAAAATCCCCCCGCACACAAAAAAGCAGACCTCACTATCACTCCCAGATAGCCAGGAATCGATCCTCCTCGCATACATTCTTTCGACCAGAGCTCAGTACTGTCAGAGCTCCGGGCGAAGGAAGCCAGAGCTGACAGGAGCTGCTCTGCGGTCTGCATCCGACACAGATGCAGACCGTGGAGGTGCTCCCGCATGTCAGGTACGCGGTCTGCACCCGTGTGCCTGACATGTCAGCTGGCTATGGGCCACATAGTACTCCAAATTTAGAGGGGTGTCCCAATACGTTTGGCAATATTGTGTATATATGCAATTTAGGGGATGCTGTTTATATATTGTAAGTGTCTAAACCCGGCAAACATCTGCTATATTTCAAACTATAGTTTCCACTTATGAATTGAAAAGGCAGTGAAATATAATTGAGTGGGACAACCCAGAATAATAACGTGCTGGATCAGTGTGATCCTAGTTCATTTTATTACTTCATTGCTGTGCTGTATGTGTATAGGCCAATGCCTTGGCTGGCGTTCGTGCAGAATGTTTCTTATGCAAACTCACCGGCCCTAGTGGCTCCTTCGGCTAACGAAGGAAAGGGGGGAGGAGTCCGGTGACGTCTATGTCCGTGATGGCTAACGAAGGGAAAGAATTATAGACATAGTAACTCATATTATATCCACAGTTTATGAATGGCCGTGTGTTGAGTTATTTTAAGGGGACAGCAGATGTCTCTAGACCTAAACCCTATTGAGCATCTGTGGGGCATCCTCAAACGGAAGGTGGAGGAGCGCAAGATCGCTAACATCCACCAGCTCCGTGATGTCGTCATGGAGGAGTGGAAGAGGACTCCAGTGGCAACCTGTGAAGCTCTGGTGAACTCCATGCCCAAGAGGGTTAAGGCAGTGCTGGAAAATAATGGTGGCCACACAAAATATTGACACTTTGGGCCCAATTTGGACATTTTTACTTAGGGGGTGTACTCACTTTTGTTGCCAGCAGTTTAGACATTAATGGCTGTGTGCTGAGTTATTGTGAGTGGACAGCAAACGTACACTGATATACAAGCTGTACACTCGCTACTTTACATTGTAGCAAAGTGTAATTTCTTCAGTGTCGTCACATAAAATTATATAATAAAATATTTACAAAAATGTGAGGGGTGTACTCACTTCTGTGAGATACTGTATATACACTGAGCGGCCAGATTATTATAACCACCCCATCAGTATTTCGTTGGACCGCCTCGTGACTCCACGAGATGTTGAAAGGTGATGCGAGGAAGCTGACACTGCACTGTTGCCCTTCTGTTGTCTTGTACCAGTCTTGCCATCTCCGTTCTGCCCTAACATTGACTAGTCGCTGATGGCCACAATTCGCACGTTCCGACCCAGATTTTCTGCTGAGAGTCCAGTCTTTAAACACTTTAACAACAGCTGCTCTTGAACATTTAACGAATTCTGCTGTTTTGCTGATACGCGCTCCATGGCTTGAGCGCCAACAATCATCCCACGCTCAAAGGCCGTTTTTTAAAATCTATATCTTCCAAAAAAAATTACTTCTCCTGTCGTGGTTAACAACCTGCTTCCCTATTTATAATGGTCTGGCCCTCTAGCAACTTCAGTGCGAAATTATAGCTAATTTGCCTACAAATGTCAGGTGGTCATAATAATCTGGCCACTCAGTGTATAGTATATATTATATTTCAACCCTTCTCCGTCAAAGATTTTTTTTCTTGCTTAGGCTTGATGCAATCAACTTTGAAATGATGGCTCTTTCTTGGAAGTAATTCTTTATATTTTCTGCAAACGATCTTGGAAACAAAGACAGAAGAACTAACATTTTTGTAATGGGGAAGTAAATCATTAATTGCTAGGTGGATCTCACTTTCCATTTTTTAGCCCAATATTCTGGTGGACATGTCACCTCCTGACAAAGTAAAGGCTAAATGAGCAATATTTTTTACTTGTCAGGAGGGTAGAAGCTACAGTTGATCAGATCTATCAGCTACTACCTGACCCAGCATTAAAAACTCCATTGGGTTAACAAGTCAGCTTATTGACCCTTCCTTTGATTCCTCATGCTTTTCTTCTGCGGAGTGCTATACTAAGGATGCCTGGTTAAAAGAAGTTACTGCTATTGGATTTTTTATTAGACTTCATGGACAGCAGTGCTGTATCTGTGCTTTAAATTAACATGTTTAGAATGGCTTGGGCTATGGTTTTTAATCTTTTGCACAGCTAGCTGCTGATATGTTCATAAACATTTGGTATTAATGTGTTCCTGCAGATTATAGGGAGAGGGATTATTTCTCCAAAATTCTGACCTGCAAGAGTCTTGGAACTGATCTTACTAAAGGTAGATTGATGAAAACTGTATTGTTCATCATATACTGTTTAATGCATTAATTACTGTTTTTGTATTTTTTGTTTTTTTATTGGCCTCACAGCAAAGCCTAGTAGAAAGTTGACATTTCTATACCTGGCGAATGATGTGATTCAAAACAGCAAGAGAAAAGGACCTGAATTTACAAAAGACTTTGCGCCTGTTATTGTGGATGCATTTAAACATGTTGCAAGGTAGGTTCCTGATTATATTTATTTTCGTAGTTTTTAGACTCAAGGGTCCTGATTCATAAAAATCAACAAAAAGGTTACTTTTCATTTAGCTTTATATTTCTACATTTGAAAGTTGTGTTTTTCACATTAAGTTAAAAAAGTGTTAAAAATAGGTTGATAAAAACTACAAATGGAGCAAAATTTAGAGAAAAAAAAATATCTTGCCATTACCCAATATATTTATAAAATATGTGATGCAACAATAACCCACCAAAACACCCAAAATTCCCCTCATGAAATATTTGTCTTATTCATAAAAGCACAGTTTCATTTATATTCGCCCAACATTCGCTTGGTGAAAAATACATCCACTGACATTTGGAAACATCTGTTCTTACATGAATTAGATGCCTACTGCAACATCTTACAACTACTTACCTTCCAGTTTTTCCTAAAATTGTCCTCCAACACTTGTATCCAACACTTGTATCTGAAAAAAACTTAACTTGAATTCAGACCTTTTTAAATGTCCCAATGAACTTTGGAGAGTTGTTTTTCTCAGAGTTCCCTGTGACATCCTTGACTCTGAGTCTAAGAAAGGGGTACCCCTATGAAGACACATTTTTAAAGTTCCTTGTGCAATTTAAAACCATTGTGGTGCCAGGATCCCCCTCAGTTCCCAACCAGTTAAGTGTGGTAAGAGGGAAATGCATTCTTTCTCTTCAGGTGAAGGAGGACACCGCTATAACATGGAAGGTAAGTGTTTTGTAAATTAGTGACCGTAGAATTATTTTGTTTTGTTTTTACTGTTTTTCATTTTTTTATTTTTTTTTTAACACCACTGTAATTCATGAATGGTGAAATAGTTAGGGGTGCGAAAGTGAATGCATATTTGTGTCCACCTGCATGCATTGAAATGCTTTATTGTTAGTGTGTGGATCTAGTTATGACATACCTCGCAACTTTGAGGGCAGAATGATAAAGCCTGAAGAAAACGCTTTGCTGTGCAATGGTGTATGCTGAGTGGTTCAGTACATAATTTTACCTCCGAAACTCAGAAGACCTTAGGATCAAATGCTTAATGCTATGCAAAATAGCCTGAAGTACTTGCTCACTCAAAACTATTTCTGTTTTAGATTATAGTTGGTAATGTAGGTACTTCACTGACTTGTATGTATTGGGAATTCTAGCAGAAAGGACATTTCAATGGGGTTTCTGGGTTTGCTTACGAACTGCAGGAATCAAAAGGGGGACTTTGTGTCCCCAGTTTTAATTTCAGTTGACTTCATGAAAGCACTGGGGGCCTGGGACTGGTAGTTTTCAGTGCAAGTCATCTACTGTTAATAGTGGGGATAGTATAGCTGGCCAGCATGTTAAAATTAACACACCTCACCTACTACACTAAAGCATCTCCCAACAATACTCCCTACCCTATTTAAACATTACCCATCTGCTGAAATGAGCCTCTAAGACAGTGGTTCTCCACCTTTCTAGGGCCGGGAACCCTTGGTAACATTTGCCAAGTTACTAGATGTGTCCAGGAGTGCCCACAATTTTTTGTTCGGAGTTCTACTTTTCAAATGAGGAGTTCAATGAGATCTACCAACGAAAAAACACCTTTATTTAGAAAACCAGCACGTTAAAATAGTTACTGGGACTACTGCCTAGCTCTCTCCTCTCTCTGGGCCGGTTCACACCACAAAGTCTGCGTTCCAGAGTGTTTGGCCAGCTCCCAACGTTCAGGGACGGGAGGGGGCATGGTGGTGCATTGAAAGTCAATGACACCGCAGCCACTGCGGGCGGGGGGCCCGCAGTGTAATCGCCCGCACCCAGAACTAATGTGCCTGTGTTCCGGTCCTGGGCAATCTGCAAAAATGCTGCAAGCACTATTTTTGCAGATCGCACTGGATCGGAACGCAGGCACTAATGTGCCTACGTTTTTGGTGCGGGCAATCGCATTGTGGGCGGGGGGCGTGGCGGTGATTTGAAGTCAATGGCACTGTAGCCACGCCCCCCATCTACAATGCGATTGCCCGCACCCAAAATCCCACCCTTGAATGCAGGGAGCCAGCCAGCTTGCGTTCCAGAGGCCAAACACTCTGGAATGCAGACTTTGTGGTATGAACTAGCCCTCTCTCTTGGCTGTCTCTTCTCTCTTGGCTGTCTCTTCTCTCTTGGCTGTCTCTTCTCTCTTGGCTGTCTCTTCTCTCTTGGCTGTCTCTTCTCTCTTGGCTGTCTCTTCTCTCTTGGCTGTCTCTTCTCTCTCGGCTGTCTCTTCTCTCTCGGCTGTCTCTTCTCTCTCGGCTGTCTCTTCTCTCTCGGCTGTCTCTTCTCTCTCGGCTGTCTCTTCTCTCTCGGCTGTCTCTTCTCTCTCGGCTGTCTCTTCTCTCTCGGCTGTCTCTTCTCTCTCGGCTGTCTCTTCTCTCTCGGCTGTCTCTTCTCTCTCGGCTGTCTCTTCTCTCTCGGCTGTCTCTTCTCTCTCTGCGGTCTCGGCTCTCTCTCTGCTGCTGCTGTCTCTTCTCTCCCCCTCTCTCTCGCACGAGCACCGCCGGAGGACAGGACACAGGTCAGTGCGCAGAATGCGATCTACCAGTGTTCCCTTTGCGATCCACTTGTAGATCACACCTCTGTGTTGAAACTTCCCTGATCCCTCCCTCCATACATTCTTGTTGGCCCATCACTAGGGTGGGCTACCTCACTTCCCAAAAACCTATCCCCTCCATCCAATCCTAACATTTACCCTATCCCCTAGAGGGAGACTTATGCTAACATAGACTATAAAGTAAGCACTAACACAAGCCTCTATCCATGCAGCTGCAGAAGGAATGAAACTCCATGTCAGGGGTTCGGATTGAGGACTAGGTACTTTAATGCGTTGATCTTGCTAATGGGTCCCTTAAGCTTAAAAAATTGAATGTTTGATTTAGCCTAACATCATTCATCTGTAATTCAATACTATATCAGTTTAGGTATATCCATGCAGCCCTGTAATTTTTTTATTTATTTTGCTGCAGTGATACTGATGAGAGCTGTAAGAAGCATTTGGCTAGGGTTCTCTCTATATGGGAAGAGAGGGCTGTGTATGAAAACGATATACTGGAGCAACTGAAGACATCTTTATGTAAGTGGAAGCAATCTGTTCCGTAAGCCAAATTTATTAAAAGCATTTGCATTTTACTAATAATAGGTTCTGATGATGTTTTGGAAAGTCTTCCTTGGGGTGTCATTTTTTAGTGTTACACTGTATATGTTTGAAACATTATATATAGACTTGTAAGCAAGCCCACTTCATAATTTCTAAAAGTAGTAGTTACTTTTATTTTTTGTTCATTGAGAAACACAGGATGCATTGATATTTGGGGTATACTGCTGCCTACAGGAGGATTTTGACACTGATGAACAGTGATGAGCCAGGTAAAACCCCTCCCATTCCCAGCATGCCTCAGTTTTCTTGAGCGTATATCACAAGATACAGGGAGGTAAATTTAATTAACCACTGGGGTTTGCAGCTTCTTTCCAGGTGATTCGACATTGGCAAATCACTCAAAGCTGCAGGGCAGCCCTGCAAAATCCCTCCCACTTCCAGCCTACCTCAGTTTTTTCTAGTGTCCTTAGGTGATGGACTCCTTCTCTCAACTCTGGGAGAAGTACGCCCTTTTCCGCTGTTTTCTCTACAAGACTCTCCAACAGCTGTCCAGAATGGTTTCTCCTGCGCAGAGCCTTGGTGGACTGCATCTGGACCCTGACTAACAGAATATGTGGGGCTGACCTGTTTTGTGCTATGTGGCACCACATTGACACTTGTACAGGGTGCTCAACAGGTCCAGGGCCATGGTCCATCTAGGTAGAGCCTTGACCTGACAACCCCCCTAGGGGGTTATGCCCACCCAGAGAGCAAAGCTCAGATGGCATGTCTGCCACATCTATGGTGAGGAGTAAAAACCACTTTGGTAAGCTTAGTGAGCTTAGTGAAGGAGGGCAGATGAATTACAGAATCTGACTCATCCAATCACAGAATGTTTACATTCTGTGAATGAGCAAGGGGGGTGGAAAGGGAGGGTGAGCAGCACGATGACTTCACTATTACAGTTGATGCAGTTAATGTAGCACCGGTGGATGGAAGATTTCTAGAAGAACCATCAGCCAGCGGGATGTGGGTCAGACTTCATTAGAGATAAGTTATGTTGCTGGTACTGTATAACTAAAAACATTTTAACTAACCTTCAGCTTTAAATCACTTTTTCTTGCTGCCCTACATTATTGTGTGGATGGCCTGGCGAATACTCCTCATTAAATCTGTAGGATTAGTCTCCTGCCGGTATATGTGGTGTATACTTTGTGGTCTTGCTTCCCCTAGAAAAGCTTTGGTCTCCCTGCTCTCATGCTCGGACCTTACAGTCCAAGAGCTATTTGACCGGTCACTCATGAAGGTTCTGGACAATTGCGGGTTCTGCCTGGTTCTGCTTGTGGTGCTTTCCAGATCTTTGTGTAATATGTTAGCTGCAAAGTGCTTTCTACTTCCAGAGCTTACAAACAGGATCTGTGCTATGGAACAACAAACCCCTGAGCTGCCATGATAAAAAACTGTATTATAAACTTACCCTACGCTACAGAGACCAACTACATATGCAATCTAACGATAATCTACATGTGAAATAAATACAGAAATATATAAATACGCATAATCACCCTACGGTGAATACATTATTGGGTATTTTTCCACTATATATTGTATTTATTCACCATAGGGTTATTCTGCATACTTATATATTTATTTCACAGGTAGATTATTATTAGATTGCATATGTATTTGGTCTATAAAGCGCAGTGCACTTTTATAATTCACTAGGGATGCTACTGCACCAATACCTGCACAGCCCTCCTGAGATCCTGTACAGTCCTCCTGAGACTCCACACAGCTTCCCACCAGAATATTGAATATGCTGTATCTTTCCTGGCTGTCTCTCCTTGCTCTCTCTCCTGGCTCTCCTAGCTGTCTCTTTGCTCTCTCCCTTAGCTCTCTCTCCTGGCTGTCTCTCCTTGCTCTCTCTCCTGGCTGTCACTCTTCCCCTGACTGTCTCTCCTCTCTCTCTCTCCCCTGGCTGTCTCTCCTCTCTCTCTCCTCTCTCTCTCTCCCCTGTCTCTCCTCTCTCTCTCCCCTGGCTGTCTCTCCTCGCTCTCTCCCCTGGCTGTCTCTCCTCGCTCTCTCCCCTGGCTGTCTCTCCTCGCTCTCTCCCCTGGCTGTCTCTCCTCGCTCTCTCCCCTGGCTGTCTCTCCTCGCTCTCTCCCCTGGCTGTCTCTCCTCGCTCTCTCCCCTGGCTGTCTCTCCTCGCTCTCTCCCCTGGCTGTCTCTCCTCGCTCTCTCCCCTGGCTGTCTCTCCTCGCTCTCTCCCCTGGCTGTCTCTCCTCGCTCTCTCCCCTGGCTGTCTCTCCTCGCTCTCTCCCCTGGCTGTCTCTCCTCGCTCTCTCCCCTGGCTGTCTCTCCTCGCTCTCTCCCCTGGCTGTCTCTCCTCGCTCTCTCCCCTGGCTGTCTCTCCTCGCTCTCTCCCCTGGCTGTCTCTCCTCGCTCTCTCCCCTGGCTGTCTCTCCTCGCTCTCTCCCCTGGCTGTCTCTCCTCGCTCTCTCCCCTGGCTGTCTCTCCTCGCTCTCTCCCCTGGCTGTCTCTCCTCGCTCTCTCCCCTGGCTGTCTCTCCTCGCTCTCTCCCCTGGCTGTCTCTCCTCGCTCTCTCCCCTGGCTGTCTCTCCTCGCTCTCTCCCCTGGCTGTCTCTCCTCGCTCTCTCCCCTGGCTGTCTCTCCTCGCTCTCTCCCCTGGCTGTCTCTCCTCGCTCTCTCCCCTGGCTGTCTCTCCTCGCTCTCTCCCCTGGCTGTCTCTCCTCGCTCTCTCCCCTGGCTGTCTCTCCTCGCTCTCTCCCCTGGCTGTCTCTCCTCGCTCTCTCCCCTGGCTGTCTCTCCTCGCTCTCTCCCCTGGCTGTCTCTCCTCGCTCTCTCCCCTGGCTGTCTCTCCTCGCTCTCTCCCCTGGCTGTCTCTCCTCGCTCTCTCCCCTGGCTGTCTCTCCTCGCTCTCTCCCCTGGCTGTCTCTCCTCGCTCTCTCCCCTGGCTGTCTCTCCTCGCTCTCTCCCCTGGCTGTCTCTCCTCGCTCTCTCCCCTGGCTGTCTCTCCTCGCTCTCTCCCCTGGCTGTCTCTCCTCGCTCTCTCCCCTGGCTGTCTCTCCTCGCTCTCTCCCCTGGCTGTCTCTCCTCGCTCTCTCCCCTGGCTGTCTCTCCTCGCTCTCTCCCCTGGCTGTCTCTCCTCGCTCTCTCCCCTGGCTGTCTCTCCTCGCTCTCTCCCCTGGCTGTCTCTCCTCGCTCTCTCCCCTGGCTGTCTCTCCTCGCTCTCTCCCCTGGCTGTCTCTCCTCGCTCTCTCCCCTGGCTGTCTCTCCTCGCTCTCTCCCCTGGCTGTCTCTCCTCGCTCTCTCCCCTGGCTGTCTCTCCTCGCTCTCTCCCCTGGCTGTCTCTCCTCGCTCTCTCCCCTGGCTGTCTCTCCTCGCTCTCTCCCCTGGCTGTCTCTCCTCGCTCTCTCCCCTGGCTGTCTCTCCTCGCTCTCTCCCCTGGCTGTCTCTCCTCGCTCTCTCCCCTGGCTGTCTCTCCTCGCTCTCTCCCCTGGCTGTCTCTCCTCGCTCTCTCCCCTGGCTGTCTCTCCTCGCTCTCTCCCCTGGCTGTCTCTCCTCGCTCTCTCCCCTGGCTGTCTCTCCTCGCTCTCTCCCCTGGCTGTCTCTCCTCGCTCTCTCCCCTGGCTGTCTCTCCTCGCTCTCTCCCCTGGCTGTCTCTCCTCGCTCTCTCCCCTGGCTGTCTCTCCTCGCTCTCTCCCCTGGCTGTCTCTCCTCGCTCTCTCCCCTGGCTGTCTCTCCTCGCTCTCTCCCCTGGCTGTCTCTCCTCGCTCTCTCCCCTGGCTGTCTCTCCTCGCTCTCTCCCCTGGCTGTCTCTCCTCGCTCTCTCCCCTGGCTGTCTCTCCTCGCTCTCTCCCCTGGCTGTCTCTCCTCGCTCTCTCCCCTGGCTGTCTCTCCTCGCTCTCTCCCCTGGCTGTCTCTCCTCGCTCTCTCCCCTGGCTGTCTCTCCTCGCTCTCTCCCCTGGCTGTCTCTCCTCGCTCTCTCCCCTGGCTGTCTCTCCTCGCTCTCTCCCCTGGCTGTCTCTCCTCGCTCTCTCCCCTGGCTGTCTCTCCTCGCTCTCTCCCCTGGCTGTCTCTCCTCGCTCTCTCCCCTGGCTGTCTCTCCTCGCTCTCTCCCCTGGCTGTCTCTCCTCGCTCTCTCCCCTGGCTGTCTCTCCTCGCTCTCTCCCCTGGCTGTCTCTCCTCGCTCTCTCCCCTGGCTGTCTCTCCTCGCTCTCTCCCCTGGCTGTCTCTCCTCGCTCTCTCCCCTGGCTGTCTCTCCTCGCTCTCTCCCCTGGCTGTCTCTCCTCGCTCTCTCCCCTGGCTGTCTCTCCTCGCTCTCTCCCCTGGCTGTCTCTCCTCGCTCTCTCCCCTGGCTGTCTCTCCTCGCTCTCTCCCCTGGCTGTCTCTCCTCGCTCTCTCCCCTGGCTGTCTCTCCTCGCTCTCTCCCCTGGCTGTCTCTCCTCGCTCTCTCCCCTGGCTGTCTCTCCTCGCTCTCTCCCCTGGCTGTCTCTCCTCGCTCTCTCCCCTGGCTGTCTCTCCTCGCTCTCTCCCCTGGCTGTCTCTCCTCGCTCTCTCCCCTGGCTGTCTCTCCTCGCTCTCTCCCCTGGCTGTCTCTCCTCGCTCTCTCCCCTGGCTGTCTCTCCTCGCTCTCTCCCCTGGCTGTCTCTCCTCGCTCTCTCCCCTGGCTGTCTCTCCTCGCTCTCTCCCCTGGCTGTCTCTCCTCGCTCTCTCCCCTGGCTGTCTCTCCTCGCTCTCTCCCCTGGCTGTCTCTCCTCGCTCTCTCCCCTGGCTGTCTCTCCTCGCTCTCTCCCCTGGCTGTCTCTCCTCGCTCTCTCCCCTGGCTGTCTCTCCTCGCTCTCTCCCCTGGCTGTCTCTCCTCGCTCTCTCCCCTGGCTGTCTCTCCTCGCTCTCTCCCCTGGCTGTCTCTCCTCGCTCTCTCCCCTGGCTGTCTCTCCTCGCTCTCTCCCCTGGCTGTCTCTCCTCGCTCTCTC